TATATGTACTTATTAAGGTTCCATAGAATGTTCCATAGAATAAATTTTTTCAAAACAGGGATCAAAATCAAAGCCAATTATAAATCTGCTATAAATATATCATAACTTAAAACTGTATTTTTTTGGGTTTTGTTAACGGATTTTCTTAAAAACACTACGTTTTAGGTTCGACACATGACTACATGATTTGACATGTTTCGAAATATGTCGACATATCCTGGGACAAATTTTTACCTTTACAAATAAAATTTAAATTTTGTCGTTTTTTGATTATCTTTATAAAATGTAATGTCTAAATACAACATTACAATTGGATCAAATATACAAAATCATATAAAATGCGAGGTCCGTACATAAGTTATATAAGTTCAATATATCCTAAAAACAGTTTCCCAGTGCAGTTATCTACATATCACCATTTCCTATATCCCCCCATTAAAAACCAGCAATTTCAAGGGAAACTCCACTCAAGAGGCGACAAAGTTGCACAAAGTCTGCCCATGATGATCACGATCGTAATCAGCATCGGCTGATGATCATTCGCGGAAATATTTTATGCCATTTAATTTCAGGCTCCCTCCCTCTGTATCTCCAGCCCAGACTGCCATCTAATTGAGTTGTTGGCCAGCTATATAGCTACACATATGGCCGAAGATCCGAAGAGAGTCGTACGATGGCTGGCAAATATTTATCGGCATATTAATGCAGCATATTTCAAATGCAAAGTCGACTCTCATCTGACTGACTTACTTCCTCAGTGAGCGGCTCCCAAACATGTTTATGCAATTTCCCCGCCCGGTCTTCGGTCTTCGGTCTACGGTCTACGGTCCTCACTCTTCAGTCTGCTGTCTTCAGTCTTTAGTCTCCCGTCTGCGTGGTCTATGGCTTGTCTTATCAAATGATTTTATTTATGCTATGGGCGCGCATGTGTGCGATAATTGGATTATTTACTTTCGCGGCTTAGCAGCCAGCGAGTTGTGGAGCTCGTGGAAAATTGTCGAGTTTTCGCTTTCTATTAAGTCGACCCAACGGAGACGCCCCTTACATGAGGCACTTAATTTTCGAAATACCCGAAATCGATGTGAGATAAATATTTTACAAATATTGTCAAATTAGGTGGGGTAATTGGAAGTGGACTGTGGGGATCTTAAAAAATATTCAGCTTTTATTTAATCTGTTTAATTATTTATTTGGATATTCAAAACATTTTTTCATAGTGTTATTTCCATCCGATTATTAAACTAAAAATGGGTTTTAAACCTAAAAATCCTATAATAATGTAAAATTTAAAAAAATGTTATAGTAACATGCGAACAAGAAAATGTGTCTTAGATGTACAAGTATAAACAGTTATGTTTCAAAAATGATATATGGGTAAAACCTTATATCATTCTTCACTAATTTTCCATTTTGTCTTTTAATAAAATAATTATTGAAATGGTTAAAAAAAATATAGAACTACTTATCTATGTTAGGAAGCACAGAAAATATTTTGTTCTAGATAGGTTAGTTCGATTTCCTTTGTATAGTTCCCTCATGTTAAATTGCCCAATGGACTGCTCAGGACGTTAGCCACCAATCAACGCTCCATCCTGCATCGAAACTCCCACTCAACTCAGGTGGGGAACAAAACTTCGGATTCCAGATCCCATTCCGTAGTTTTAGGCAACTTTGTAGCAACACCCAGTTGGCTACCAGGCCGCAAATAAACGGCCAAGTCGGCTTTTGGCATTAATATGTATGAGTGGTGTCAGGAGGCAATGCCACAACGCGTTTATCAAACATTTGAAACATGCGTTGACTCCACCCCCTCCGCCAGGCCCACCCCCGTGCCACCACCCCCCTCCCCATCGAGCTGGTTGACCCAATTAACCGGGCATTATAAAGTCGTAAAGCATATTGCCAGACGTAAGCGGGGTGGGTTGGGGAATTAGCAAATAGTCAGGCCCCCGGGCCAAAGACCGAGCCACAGACAGAGATAGATATACATAACTGCAGATAGAGAGAGAGAGAGATAGGTACACATAAAAGAAATATGATCTTGGAGGTCTAAATATCATTCCAATGCATATCTTATATTCTGCCAGTTATGCCCATTAAGATAATTAAACTTTTCGTAATATTTTAGCAACAGTATTCTGGCAAATAATATTTTTGATTTTTTTTAGATCTAAACTATTTTGACTATAACTTGTATGTGACTACCTTTGAACCACTTTTTTTATTTTTGTGTATAAAAATAGGTGACAAGCACACCCGCCACATCCCATTAAATATGCTAGCCAAAATCGAGTGAACTCATAAATCACAAATCACTTAGGCAAACTCTTTTTGGTAGCTGAACAAGATGTTGTTGGGGGCTGGGAGTTTGGGAAACTGCGGGGGCGCCTGCCAATGGTCATGTTTTGTGCGATAATATTGACAAATTGTGCAAACATTCGCACACAATTAATAAGCGCCGCACAGATGGAGCTCCCCCCCCCAAAAAAAAAATGACACAAACGGCGGCAGATATTTTCCGCCCACGTGCTGGGGCGCGTGTTCGCATTTTGCAGAAAGCCAGAAAGCCAGAAAACCAGAAAACCAAAAGCCAACTGACAAAGCCAAAAGACAAAAGACAAAGCCAAACGGAGCAGAAGCAAAACAAAGAGCCGGGGGACATGACAACATAATTCAGATTCAGGGAGGGCGCACTGGCGCTACCTAAAAATAAAAGAGAAATCAGGAATGTCGCCAAGTGTCAGGAGACAATGGCGCAAATACAGTGGCACAAGCTTTTAACGTAATATAAATTATATTGAAATACTTTCTGCTAACTAGTCCCAATGGATTACGTCTTTAAGAACATATTTCCTTATTCCAGACAGAAATTTATTCACCATCTTTCTGTTCTTCCTACGATCTTAACGGGTTCCTCAAATCATATATGTTCTAAAAAGTTTTCCCCAGGCAATATATAGATATTATATTTTCTTACCTTAAACCTTTAACATTAATAATATATGTCATAATAACTAGATATAAATTTCTTTCTTAGACCTATCACTCACTTCGGACAAAACAGGTAATAAAATTATAATTTCAGTACACTTAACCTTATCTCTTTTTCCAAAAATGTGTCAAGTTAATACGTATACGGGTATTACATTTTCCTACCTTGAGCTGTTATTAATAAAACTAGATATAATAATCATGTAAGGTACTAACTTCCTCAAGATATCTTCGCTATTTAGTAACTCTACATTTTTTTCTTAGACCTGGCACTCACTCTGATAAAAACAGCTAGAAGAACTAAAATTTCCTTACACTTAAAGTAATCTATTTTTTGCCAACATCTGTCAGGATAATTAATTTCCCAACGATGTTCCCATAAATCATGTTCTCAGGGCGTCCAAAAACCCCTTGCCACTGTGCCAATCCCCACTTACTCCTTATACATACGAGTGCATCCCATCGAGAATCAAGAGTCGCAGCACGTAAGAATCGCCCACACAGAAGCACCCTGAAACCAGGCTTCGAATGGCCAACCGAATGAGTTTGCAACTTTTAGCCGATTGAGTGACCAAAGATACACATTTCCCCGCTCTTTATTATTTGATTGATGATTGCAGTTAGCGATGCGCCGATGCGCCTTTGATGTCTTTGGAGTAACATATCGCTTGGCCCTCGGCCAGCACTCGACTTTCGATTTCCAGCCAAACCAAAGACTAAAGTCGGCAATTTATGCCGGCATAACTCGTGTGTTTAGGCCAAGTCGCTGCGAATAAGCGGCTTAGTTGGCCAGGAAGCCGCAACGGACATACGGACATTTGTGTTGACAAATCAATTAAATGCGAAATTTAAAGGCGCACACAGTAGCGCCCGAGAGGCAAAGTCTGCGGCACGCAAATGTCGGGTGGGAAGTCGGCGATACAACCGACTACCGGGCTAGAGAATGGGTCCGCCAATCGCGGGATCCAGGCCAAAACCAGGTTCCGACTCCCCAAAGAAACCTTGTCGACGCTTATCGAAAACACTGATCCGGCCATGCAAATCGTAAAGTGTGAAAACAAATTGCTAAAAGGCCTCCAGGGGAATGGTTGAGGGAACGGGATTGAGGGGCACCCAGAACCGAACCCATGGGTGAGACTCATTGCAGCCGTCCCGTCGGATAATTGCACTCGATTTGTAATTCAAGATTAAGGGCAGACAGCTCGTCCGTTTTCCGTTCCTGAACTTAATTTATGTCCAGATCTTTGGCCAGGGCATTGTTTCTCCACCGACCCCCAGATGATAATCACCTAAAATGTGGGCCATGAGTTAAGTGATTATGTAAATTTTTGGTTCGCTGACCAGCTGAGTTCACCACTTGGAGTCTGGGATGCGATGGCATAACCTTCAATTGGCTTTGGGCAGATTGTTGGTAATTGCGAGCCAGGAAAGCCCAGGATTGATGGCCAATTTGGGGGAGTTAGTGAAAGTCAGTTCTGGGGAATTTAATATCAGAAATATTTAAGCAGACAAGTAAGGGCTTTCCTGTGTATAATATTAAATGGGTTATTTTAATCATTAAAAAAAACTCACACAGAATATTAATACTATTAAGTTTTTAAGTAAGAACTATATTATATCATCAAGGATTGATAGCCAATATCAGAAAAAGATAAGCAGAAAGTAAAGTACCATCTATGTATAATATGTACAATTTAAAATCGGATCATTTTTGAACATTGTATAGAAGAAACTCACAGAATATTAAACCAGAACTATATTATATCATCAAGGATTGATGGCCAACTTGGGGGAGTTAGTGAAAACCAGTTCTTGGGAATTTATTATCAGAAAAAAACGAAAAAGAAAGTTAAAAACCATTCCATGTATAATATAAATTCGGGTTCTTTAAACGTTGTTTAAGAAAAACACTCAAAACATTTTGTAAGAACTATATTATATCATCCACTCTTGATGCATAATCTTTCTTAAGCCAACATAGGTTTATAGTTATAAAATGGCATACTTACATCGTATTTACTTGACCTCATTTTACCCATTTATTTTGCATCTAATTTGCATTCGTATTTCGTCTACGCTTCTTTGGTAAATTCAATCCAGTCGAACATTTAGAATGCGATTTCGGTGAATCGATTTCTGGGGGGCCAATTTTACAATGTCCTTTGCGATTATGTGGTTATTTTGATGTTAGGCTTAAGAATTTTGAACACTTTGCAATTGCGATTGATTTAAGCACTTTATTAATTTGCTCCAGTTGATATATCAATTAAACAGTCTTTGATTATTGTTATTTACTGAGTGGAGTGGCGACTGCAGGGGATAATTTTACTCATACGACACGTGCCACGTGAAAAGCAGCAGCTGACTGACTGAAATTGAAACCGAAACCGAAACTAAACGAGCAGGAAAACCCCCAAAAAGCGAATGGAAGTGGCAAGAAGCAGAGCACACGGAAAATGGACTACGGACCACCGAATACGGAATTCGGAATACGACATACGAAATATACGGAATACGGAAAACAGGCCAAAGGCAGGAAATCAAAAACGATTCCGATAAACCAGGCTGACTGTTACTTTCAGCTGGTTGGTTCCCCGCAGAGCCCAAAAACTGTTTACGATTCGCGATTTACGGCCACCTTGCTGTTAATGTTCTCTCGTTTCTCTCGCCGCCCTGCGGGCTTTTCACTTTGGCTTTTCCTTTTGGCCTGACACGTTTCAGTTCGCCGTGTTGTTTGCGGGAAAAATCGTTAGGCGGCAACAACAACAGCGGGAAAGCCAGAACGGCAGCAAAATGCCAAAACTGCACGAAACAGACGATGGGAGCACTGAGAAAAAATTCTAGTAAATTGGAAATAGGTTTCGGAAGAAGAAAATTTGGTTTTCTAAGCTTTTTGGTAATACGACTCAAAGGAGATTGAATTTAAAAATAAGTAGTTTTCAAAAAAGTATTTCCTGGGTCTTTATGTATTTAAAGAAAATTCTGTCTGACAATCTATAATGATAAAATTATTTGTTTTAAATATTTCGGTTTATTTATATTGCACCAACGAGCTTTACACTTTTGTACTCTATTGGTACCTTGAATGAAAAACCAATTTTCTACATAAACTTGAAGTTATGAAAGTAATTCAAAGATAAATTTATAAATAATTTAAGTGTTAAAAAAATAAATGCTGTCAGTGATTAAAAAAGTAATATTTAATTGGTTAAGCTTTAAAGGATAATAATTTAAATTAATTTTCTAATGCCCATCAAAGAACACTACTTAATTTTCATCTATAGACGCCTCTAAATATTTTATTATTCAGAGTTCAATTACTTTGAATTTTAAAAAACATTCTAGATCGTAAATTCAAAAGCGTATTCCCTATTTCTGGCACATTTTTCGCTCAGTGAAGGGGGACAGCAGCAGCCACGTGAAAAATGCCGGAAACAGAAATCGATTTGCAGCAGAAAGAAGGCCCCAAAAAGGGGAAGGTTCGGGCCAGTGGTGTGTGTTATGCACTCTGAGGTCACGATAGCGAGGCTCTTCTGTTGGGGGAATCCTTAAATTAAAGTTCTCGGCGAACGGCAAATTATGTCACACACACGCAGCGCACGAAAGTAGGCAACAATTTGGACACGATTACACCTCGAAATTCGCACTTTTTCCGGTCGACAACAAAACGCTTAGACTCTTGGCCAAATGACGGAAAAAAAAATAATAGAATTTTTTGTTGAAATTTTTTACCCGATTTTATGAGCGTTTACCCGATGTCGCTGGGCGCTGCTGCCTCTGCTGCTGCAGCGCTGAAAATTCACGTAACAATTGATTTGTGTGTCAAAAATGTCACAAGTGTCAAAACTGCGTGGAAGAACAAGCAGTTTTACAGTGGAGAGCGACACTGAGAGAAATGGAGAAGGCGAGAGAATTCGAGAGACTGAGAGCCGGTGAAAGGGAGAACTCCAGGCTGCGCCGCTGCGCAAAGAGAGAGCCTAAGAGAAAGCCAACAACACGTGCGTGTCCTGCGGATAAGAGGCCAAAATTAAGGCTCTTTTTGAGCGGAGAATAAAGAGACTTGGGATTATGTTGAAACATTTTCGGAGCATCAAGATCAGATGGGCATTTGTAAAGCTCTTCGATTTTTGGATTAACTAGAATTTGTGATGGATTCTACTAAGCATGTTTCCATAAAATTACATTAGTATAACATTTATATATGAAAACATTTTTGAATGGATGAAGAATTGTACTGGCCTTAATATTTAATGGAAAAATAAAAATAGGTTTCAGAAAACTTCTAAAAAAAAATGTAATTTTAAAGTTGTGCTTTAAGAATTATATAGCAAATGAAGTCCTACTTTCTTGTTCTAATGGTAAACTAAAATAAGTTTTAAAACCTTCAGAAAAAGTTGACTTTAAGACCTACTTTTTAAAGGAAGTCTTAAAACCTTCAGGAAGTTTAGACTTAGACTTTAGAACCTACTTTTAGTATAACATGAGGACCAGAAAACGGCATTAAACAGAATTTCCTCCTTTATATACTACTATATACTACTATACTATTTTAAGGACAGTTTTTTCTAAGAAATTGAATTATAAGTTTGATTCAATTCAAAAATATACCCTCAAACAATTTTAGGAAAACATTTTTTAAAGGTTTTCTAAAATGCATTTTTAAAGAATATATATGTACTTTTCATAGGTTTACTTATATTAGGGCTCACTGTGCCCATAACTTTTCCACCTATTTATGAATCACTTGACCATCCCCCGAAAGTTTCAAGCGGAAACCCATACTTTAAGTCCTGGCAGCTAAGCCAAAAAGGGGTTCGTTTTTCGTCTATTCCTTCAGATCCTGCCTAAACGGCTTAAAAGGCTCAAATGAACGCAGGCAAAAACGTTTTTGCACCCACTTTTCGACCGCAAAATGAACAACATCAAGGGTGGCCAACAAGGTGATAGGCTCACAAACACTAAAATATGTGTTTCATTATAATAAATCACTATTCTTGAAGTTTTCTTTAAAGCACAATATTTTTGTTAATTTTTATTGTTATTTTTTGGTTTAATAAACTCGAGTTAAGTTCGTTATTTTCGATTCGGATTCCGATTTCGAACCGATTCGATTCGATTCGCGACTGCGGTTTGTTATGTTTTGTTGTTGCGAACCCAACTAAATGCGATGCGAAACTGGCCAACAAAACGCGATGCCTCTGCTGCAGTCGCTGCGCTGCCGCAGCCTGCGTCGCTGCCTCCGCCTGCGTCGACTGAAGCAGAGCATTGGCTTTTCTTATTGGAACAAATACTCGGCAGACTTTGAGACCGGCCAGTTTTTTTAATAGTTCCTGGGCAAGGGGGGTGTGTGGGGGGTGTATGCTCACCACTTGAGGCTAATAAGAAGAAGAGGAAGAATCAGGGAAAGAGGAAGAAACGCAAAAACAACAACCGCAGAAACAACAACAACAACAACCGCAATGAGAGCGAGTGAATTGCAACAGGAGCTTTGGGCAGCGACGTCGACTGCGCTGCTGCGGCCACCGTTTCGCCATAAAAAAGAGAAAACTTTTCGCTCTTTCAAGTTTGCGGATGCCTAACGGTCTATGCCACAAAATTGCATGCGATTTTATGCTTTCCCACAGATACTCTTTGGTTGCAAAAATGAGAGGAGAAACCTTTTCTTGGGGGTGGATTTTTGACTGACCAGTGAACATTTTTTTTGGTTGTTTCAAAGTTCTGGAGTGACCATTTCATGGGTTGACAAAAGCTTTTCAAAACCCTAAGGAGTCTTCAAAAATTTTAAGAAATTTTAGTTATTTAATTGGGCGTGTAATGAAGTAATAAGTACTTTAAAGCTATTTCAAACTTTACAGGCGAGGCCCAAATAAATAAAATATTTGTAAAATATATGTATAAGCTTTTCAATATAGTTCGAAATGCTGGAATTGCCTTTAAATTTTAAACTCAACACTTATCACATAGTACAACTCACCCTAACTAACCTTAATATCCACATATATCCATATATATATATTCAATATCTAGAATAACAGGTTTGATTATAATTGTATATTTAAACCTGTGATATAAGTAAAATAGAGTTAAATATTTAAATTCTGTTTGAACTAAACAAAATAAAAATGGTCACCCCAATTGCTTCTCTTGGGGGTTGATTGGGCCTCCAGTTGCCCAACGAAAAATATTCCCACTCTCGCATGCGATAATTGCCTCACAAAGACACTGGAAACCCCATTAAAGAAACAACAACAGGTTTGAGTTGCCAACGCAATGAATGTTGCATGAACCGAGCAAGATGTTGCAAAGTGGCAATGAGTCAACCGTTGGCATTGGACGCGTTTTTGTTTTATTTTTTGGGCCAGGATCCTTTGGAGGGAGTAGAGATCATCATTACCCACATGCGGCTGATTACTCACGCGATGTGCAGCTCACGCAATATCATCGCGATTGGGATTATAGACACCTCTTATATGATCCGGGGTCGGTAATCGGTTAGCAGAGTGTTTTGTGCATATTGTGATATATTGACAGCATTAAGGCTGCGATAGTCGCGCTTCATTAATCATAGATCCTTACGGGCAGGGACCTATTAATTTGAACGCCACGGAACAAAACAGCTTCTCTTTGGGCCATCTTTAATGGTGTGAACACGCCAGGAGTGAACAAATTGCAAAATAGCTTACACTGGGGAAAAATGTTGAATTGATTTTTAGAATTTTAAGAATGAATATTTTTTAAATATGTTATATCATAAAACATAAAATCAACAAAAATAGACATTTTAAAGAAAAATGTTTGTATATTTTTGCAGAAAAAATGAGATATAATAAAATAATGTACATATGCATATACATAACCAGAACAATTATTATATCTTAATAGCTAATTCCTTTAAAAGGAAGTACTTATTATTAAAGTTTTGTATAAATTGTACAGAGAACATAATGATACATTTTATTCTCTTTTCTATTCTATTCTATTATATTTTCCCAGTTAAAAAATAATACTTTAAGCTGCGAACTACTATCCGAAATATTAATATATTTAATTCCAAAGGTTTACAATGAGTTACAAAAGTAAGGAAATATAAAAAAGAATATATGTATAAGATCGGAACATTCTTTATAGCTTATTACAAAAAACCCTTTACAAGGAAGTATTTATTATTACAGTTTTCAGTAAATTTCAGAGATCATAATGATCAATTTTATTGTCTTCGTACATCCCAAAACGGTTTTAAAATAAAGTTCTAAGCAGCAAACTTCTATCCCAAATTGTAATATATTAAGTTCTAAGGGTTGATCATGAGTTACAGAAAAGAGTAAAATTTTTCGCAGTGCACAGCGTGAGGGAGAAAGCAATGGTGAACCCTGCAGAAAGGGAGAGCGATAGCCACCCGCTCTAGACAAAAGACAAAGCGATCCGAAGGACAACACAGCAGAGGGCGAACGGCGAAAACAGCATCGTAAAAACAAAAAAAAGTTACACGCCTGCGCAGCGGGTGGCGCTCGCTTGTAATAAAAACACGCCGGCGCAAGGGAGCGAAAGAGAGGTAGGCAGGGCGGAAGGGAAAGGGAAGATAGCCCGCTCACATATCGAAGCTTTCGATCAAATGGCCTATCAGATGGCCGGCACTTCGAAGTCCCCAGACCTCGCCGACGGTCCCTTGTGTGTGTTGAAAAATTCATTTTAATAAGCGCCCGTAAAATCAAGCTCGCAATATCTGAGCAATAAATAAATGACAATTATGAATTGTTCCCCGGACTAAGTCCAAAACCCTTTTCCCAACTCCTTTCCATCCAGGCATTTCCATCGGCGCCCGTCGAGCACCATGTGGAATTTAATTCTGGCGCTCACTGTGCGGCGCTGTCATCGTG